TTATAGTTGAACTGTGACCTGTATTATTTGATGCTGGAATTATGTTGCCTTAGTTATTTCGTCTGTCTAAAAGAAAAAAAAAAAAAAAAACGAAAATAAACCATACCTGCACCACGAAATTACCTTCAAATATCGTTTGCGTCGAGCTATTACGAGCTGATAAAGATAACTTTGGTTTTGTGGATATTTTGAGGTCAGTGTAAAGCCACTGCTCATAAACAGCTGACAGTAAAGAATCATTGTTAAATTCCTGAAAAAAATTAAATAAAAAATTACATATTCCAGAGGTTGCAATATTTCTCCAAAATCAGTCACATAATTATTTCATAAGTTGAAAAACAGCAGCAAAAAAAGTTAAGGTAATAGATAGAAAGAAGGAGAGGAAATATAAAATGGAAAAAGTTTGGGTCCGCATCTATTTCACCTTTTCGTTCATCCTAGTTTACTTTTGGATTTATTTATCGACCTATTAATACAATCACTGATAAAAATAGTATTCACAGTGACCACCCTCAAACTTTATCCGTCCAGGAGTTGCACTGTTTTTCCAGAACGACCTAGAACGGATAGCATACCAGATCTGATTAATCAAAAGGAATTATCAGCTACTCATCATAAAGTAGTCTAAACTTACTAAGGAACGAAGATATATCATTACTTCGGTTAGCCATTCTTCTTGTAATGTAACATTCAGCTTCTTACTGAAAAAGTCATTGATGATCTCGACGTCCATCCATAAGTTGACAGTATTAACACCTGAAAAAGTTTTTGAACTGCTTAAAATTTAGTTACATAAATCATCAATAAGAAAATTTTTTTAGAAAGGATCAAAATCCTATTCCTTCAAGTTGTGGATATGAAAATTTCATCAAAAAAAGCAAAGGTATACGTACTACTAGTTATACGGAAATGGAACTACTACCAGGTACTACCAAATAAGCATAAGTAAGCAAAGATATACGTAAAAAGGTATACATACTATCATTACGCAATACATTATATGAGGTTCTCGGTGAAGAAAAATACATGTGTTCAGTAAAGGAAAAAAAAAGGAAATACATGCGCTGCTATGCTACTCTTACTACTACTATTAGCGGTAGTCATAAAGACAAGAGGGATATTAAAGACTAATCAAGTTGGAAGCAAAATTAAGTTGTGAAAGTTGTAATAACTTAATCATGTTTGTGGCTACCATTCTCACGACTTCAGTCATTTAAAAGTTTTCTTTTCATCAGTGATCAATGACAGATATAGATATGTTAATGATTTTGATACATATCTGACACTTCTGATTATGCTATGCCCTATTCCTTAGTGTCACATTTCTGGAGAGCAACCGGAACGGCTATCAGTTAATAACCAGCCAAAATATTCTTACCACTAGCCCAAACTTCCGAAAGTGAAAGTTCCAAAATTTTGAATCTACTTTCCGTGCCGAATACGGAGTACTCTATGCAACCACTGCGTCCCAGTCGTTTTACTAAGTCTCCCTTACCACCGCTTATATAGGTGGTGTATTTCGATGAAGTGGAAAATCTTTAGTTCGTGAGAATGACCGACTTCCCATTGCATCTGACTTAAACTTATTGTCATTACTGCTAAAATCGCTCTTACTGGGATTTTCACCACCATGTCCCGGGCTAATAAGAAGCTTAAAAAGTTGAGCCTATTCATTCCTGGCTTTCCTACCAGTATATTTTGGTAGACTTTACGATATCGTCTCTCTTACGAATGGTATTTGATAAATTCATCGATTGTAATCAATAGTTCAATGATAAATTATGCGGATAAAGGACAATTTCGCATTCCCAGATGTTTTACATTTGCATATCGTCTGCAAAATGCAGCAAAAAGAAGTTTCTACTCAAGAATGCTCCATTTTCTATCAAAGCATACAAGACGGTCTGCGTTAAAAATATAAATCCTTCTCCTTGGGATACTTCATGGAATTTTTCTAAGGTATTGTTAAAAGACCTTATTCTGATTTATCTAAAATTTGCACTTGCAAAACTATTAAATCATGCAGTTGAAGTTCAGAACTCTCAGTTTCAGATAAAGGTGAGTTCTCGAACTGTTCTAAACTGAACGAAACTGAACGAACTGAACGAAAAACAGTTCATGCAATGGTAGTAGGGAGATGACCCATAGCACATAATTAACCTTAAATGCAAGAATTTTAGGATCTTTAAACAAATGTATTTGTGGTTCACAATTACAATACCAATGACAACATTCATTACAAGCATCACTAGTAGCATTACCATTGCGATCCTATTGTTATCTTGTGCAATGAAGAAATCTAAACGTCCGTACAAGCCAGGGCATTTACCTGAATTTCTGGTACTAATTGTTCGCTCACTTTTTTTCCCCAACACAATATACTTCATTCATAACCTCACACGCTCTCTAAAACTGCAACTGTGAACTTCCGCATTTTAAAGATGCAAATCGAAATGCTTAAAGAGGTCTTGAAAATGACAAAATATTCCGGGACATCAGAATTGTACTACTGGCTGTACCCTAAACCTAAACCACCTTTTATCACTAATTTCTGGTTGCTATTACTTTTTTTTCTAAAGCATTTTCAAAAATGCAGGATCCTAGCGCAAAAGAAGCAGATACGTATTACGGGATGAGGAGTACAGTTGCATTTCCAGTTAAAGGCACAGAAAGTGAGTTCACTTCTGCATTTACATCATTTCAGAGTCATGCGGAAAATAATCTGATGGGAATTGTTTGGAAAATACAATTTCGGAACTTGAAGAGTATGAAATCCACAACTTTTCAAAACATGAAAAAAAATCAGTTCATTATAGCACAAATCATAGCATAGTAAGAACACGAAACATACACCTTCATCACAACTGTGGATAACACTCACTGTATAACTTCTCAGTGGTTACGGTTATAATAATTTTCATCTTCATCCGTCCTTTTTAAGTTAAACGAAAAGATGATTTCAAGGCGCCACAAGCTAAAGCAGACATTGAATTGAACCTGAAAAATGAAAAACAAGATGTTCCGAATCAGAAAATACAACTAGGAAGCACTCCAGTACGAGAAAACAGTAAACCAGTAGGTTTCTTTATGTAGAATTTTGGTTCAAAAAATCAAAATCAGCTTCAATGGTTTATATCAACCTGAAACGCGGTGATTACAATAAAAGCAAAGTTAGCACGAAAGGTTTAGAGGCTTGGGCTTACAAGAAATAAAATGTAGAACATTTCAAATAGGTGACAGTGGGACACATGAGACGCTTTTTAATATATAAGAACTGACAGAGCTTCAAAAACAAACTCAGAAATGACCGAACTGTTAGATCTGTAGGCTTCCTTGTGTTACCATTCATCCCTCATTTAGATAGGAAATGTTAATGCAACCTATAATATCTATAAAACATTTATGAAAAATACTATGAACACAAGATGAAGCTTTTCAAATCATTCGATACCGATATTAAAGTTCACAGGTTATGCATAAAACAATTTAATTGAACTACGGAAGCAACTTATGAGTCCGTCATCATTGCAGACATTGGTTATGCTGTGATTTGTGTATGTAAACTGAAATATGCGTGGAAAGTATATATGACAGGTAAACCTCGATTCTTCGATGCCTATATTTTCTTCTTCAAAGTATGACACAACTTCAGAAATTTCATTTTTGAAAATTTCTAAGAAAAGGAGGGAAATCAGAAAATGTGCTTTCTAACCCACCACATTAATGTGGTTCTAAATTGTGTGTAATGAGGTACACTTGAATGTGCATACAATTACTACAGTCTCACAACAGAAATCAACAATAAACTTCACAACAGATATTAGAAGAAAGATCAGAAACATTCTATTAAAAAAAACTTTATAAACGTACAGAAACTATTCACCGACGTTTCTTAAATGACGATGAACCTTCATCAGCACTGCCATCAGCTGCTCTCTTTTTCAACTCCTTGCCTGATTCTTTAGCTGACTGTAGCAACTGGCCAAGACCGAAGATATCCTCCTCCTCCTTTTCGAACTGGAAATTAAGTTGTAGAGTAACAAAAAAAAAAAAAACTAAAAAATTTCGGAAGAATAATGAAATCAACATTAAGGAGAAAATAGCATGATAGAATTCTTTTATCTCTTATTAAAAATGAGATCTGCTTAAAATTCTCATCAAATTCTGTTCAGAACAAAAACTTCGTTTAGTTTTTCATTCATTTTTTTACAGACTTTTAATGGAAGTAAAAAGAATGGATCCGTGTTTTGAAATTCGAAATGAAATGGATTAAGGAAAACATGTTTCTAATTTTAATGAATTTTTGTACTGTTCAAAGAACGGATAAAATATAAATATTTTAAAAACTGCTGTCACGTGCAACTAGGAAAAAAGGAAAAACTTGGGAAAAGAAAAATCCAAGGAAACACATTATCTTTGAAATGGTCGATTAAATTCAGTAAAAGAAAGTTTATACGCAAAGTGAGATCAAAGTTAATTCCATATCCCTCCTCCAGAAAGAATAGACTCGACAAGGAAAAACGAATGGCGTTATTCCAAAATAATAAAGAGCGCAACGATAATGGATGAAATAAACCTCGACAGGTCCCGCATTTCGTGCTGCTCCAGGTTCGGCACCGCTAAATCCCTTATCAGGAACAAATCGATTAGTACTAATTATACGATCCAAATCATCACCGTAAAGATCTTTATCAAGATTTTTGCCTGCAATAATAGCTCTAAGATTTTTAAAATCTGAAGAACACTTTCATATTTTTTTAACTTAAACTTTTTGCCACTTAAATAACGAGTATAAAAGAATCAAATTCTCCAACAAATGCAACTTACTCGGTCGATAAATGTGTTGCTGAATATTGTCTTGAGCACGCCATGGTTTATCGTATGCGCTGTAGGTTTCATCATCAATACCACCACTATCTAATCCCTGAAAAAAGAAGCCGCAAATGATTTAAAATTGTTTTGCCTTTTATAATGATCAAAAAACTTCAACAAGAATTAAAGGCTTAAAACAAGGAACAATGTAAACTAATATTCAACAAAAAATGGCGCAAAATTTGAAAAAAAGAACCTTAGACTGATCAAAGAGTCGTTGGTCAAACTGCGTTTCGTGATGTCTTGCTCGAGCATCTGGTAAACCAAGTGCAATTTTCTCGCTGATATCCCGTTCACGACTCTTCTTAAACCTATCCAACTTATCTGGATTATTTCGTGCAATATTTCTTTCACGACGGTGTTCATCTAAGCGATCACGCCTGCAAAAAATCACGGAAATTAAACAAACCTTAAATCTCAGTTTCAGTTATTTTCGTACACCACTTTCTATTTAAGGATATTTTCGTCTAAAAAAAGCACTTCCACTTGATAACCTAGCTAATAATTTTATTTGAATACACTAAGAGACCAAAAACATGTGATCTTATCCTTTTGGCAGTAAAAAATTAGAAAATTTTGTTTTGTTGGAAAGACGTAATGACGTTAGGTCCTCATAAACTGTATATGATTTTCACTAATATTTAAATTTCAAAGGCAAAAAAACCTGCAAACAAGGATCAGTAAAAGCATTTAATCTACCTGATTTGATCACGTTCACGAGCTTCTTGATTTAATGAATCATCTTCATGTGCTTTCTTAAGAACAGTACGTTCTTGCCTATAACATGCATTAAAATGAAGTTCAGCAGAAATGATCGCATGGTACGCAATCCATATGTACATGTTAAGAATATGTTGCGCAAACAAAAGTTCTAAAATTTTTCTCAAAAAAGTTTTAAAAACGAATTTCCTATTAACCGCCATAGTTTCAAAGGTAAAACAAACCTGGCTTTTGCAGCCATGGCCCTCATCTTCTCCTCCTGCTCAGCCTTCTTGTTTTGAGCGACACGACGTTCCATCTGTGCACGCGTTTCGACAGCTTCACGAGCTGTACGATCAGCCAGATACAATGATTCCGCTAACTTGGCAAAATTTTCATTGATATGAACCTTTAAAAAAAATCTGAAGTGACCAGAAACTAAATTTGCGGTCATTTTGTTTAAAAAGTATTAAAAACTCCATAAATATCAAAACCTGCTGTAGGCCTCTTCCATCAGCAGCCAACCGCTTATCCAGTGCAATAGTAAATCCTGGAAATATCCTAATATAAAATAAAGCTCCGTAATTAAATATGTCCCTTGAGGTTTATTACATTCTTTGTATAACAAATGGCATAAACGCCAAAAAGCAACAAAAGAAATATATTGTCTTAGTTCCTTTTACTCCTCAAATTAGAGTGAGTTTACATAGAATTCAAAAAAGTTTGGACAACGTAAATACAGAAAACAACATCCATATCCAAATGATTCCGAAATTTTTCTTGACAGAAATAACAAACTACCTTTTGGATTCTTCCAATTCGATATGCATGGTGGAATTTTCCAGTCAGCTTGTTCTTTCACGGTTGTCTGAAAAGATTAAGCTTCAAAACACCAGTACTGTAAAGCACGGTGAGATTAAATTAAAAAGTGAAGCTATTGTAAACTTTCAAGTAATGCAGAACTAAAAGCACAAAAATAGAAAAAGAACCTTGCGAGGTGGCGAATGCATAACTGGAGCTGGTGGAGATGGAGGAGCACGTGGTATCTTCTGATTGATCCTGAAACGGAGCAAGTATAACAATATCATTAAACAGCAGCGATGATCAATTATCACCTACTAAATCGCATGATTCTCTCGCATTCACGTCAAAATTGTGACATGACTTATTTTTATATCCCAATAGTTTATGATAACGGAAACATGAATAGTCACTCAATATAACAACGAATTTTAAATAATAGAAATATAAAGAAAACAACGCACTTAAATTTCGGAGGTTCCATTGGGTCTTGCTGTACCTCGACCATACGGATAATTCGTTGCTGAGCGCCACTGTTATGTCCACCACCTTGCTGACTTGGTGTATAGCGTATGTATTGTACTGGATCTGGTTTCTGCGCATGAAGAACAGGTAAAGCACTTGCAACCTAAAGGAAATATTGGATGGTTGAGAAAGAGTTTCACTGTGTTATAGGATGTACATTTAAAAATCCGGAAATTTTTATTTATGAACGGATCTATAAAACCATACCTTCGTCGAAGTAATCTTCTCCAGTGCCAAACGAGTAGCTTCAGTTTGCTGTGCAATTGCTTCTTCATCCGGCTTTTGGAATGATTCGTCTTCTTCTTCTAACATTTTTGGCTTCATATCAGCCAGTCTCGTATAGATTATCTGCAGCTATGATTCATAAAAGACTTTGCTGGCAACCCATACAAAAACGAAAACAATTAAGCGCTTTTGCATTCTAATTCATGTTGTAAAACTAGAAAGAGACTTATTTGAACGTTTTTTTCTGCAAACAATTGACGCAGCAACAACTCATAACTGACAGTAATATAATAAACTACACGATGAGTCTCACGGAAAATTTAGACCTACTTTATCCTTCGAATGTCCAATCCGAGCAATTGCATCATGCCTCAACTTTCCTTCCGCATCACACTGAAGCGCAATTGTCTTATCGCTGCTAGCCTTCTTGCGCAAATCTATCCCCATGCCTGAAATGACAAAACGGCCACTAGTTCAACCAGCCTTTTAAATAATCTGCTGTCAAAATGACAGGGCAAAATAAAACTACCTAAAGGGAACTGAGCCACAGGTATCTCGGGAAATGCTCCACCATCACCGAAATCCTGCAAAAAAAGAAAAAGAAAAAAACGCTCATTGTAAGAAGCACTTGAAGGAACTTTGTCAACTAAATGATGCTACAATTAACTAAAATAAAAAAAATAAGGAACTGCTAGTTACTTCTGCGCTCCTCGGTATCCAGCCATTTCTTCTGCCATATGGTGGTGGCTCTTTCAGTATCACGGCTCCAATATTATCATCTTTCAAGGCATCCTGAAACAGCAACTACATTGATTTTATGCAGTGCTTAAAGAATATATGTGAAATATTTGGTTCCCATTGTCTCTATGCTCATACGATCAGCATATGACAGTTATGCAACAAATAAGCAAATATAGCTCATGACTGCATATCGTGTCAAAATATGCAGCAAAATTAAGGGACTTACTTCTCGTCCTTGAAACCATGGGTCGCGACGAACAGATGACCATTCATCTGACGTAGAAGATGGAGGTGGAAGTATTCTGTAATTTTCATGGTAATGACTACATATTATGGAAATAAACGAACAATGAAGTTAGTGAAATCTCAAATACTAAGCACTCATGTACTTTTTAAGCCATACACCGCTCCAATTAGTCAGTCATAATCTTTACTGACTATGATTAACTAATTTCTCTCTACAAGGAGCCACAGAATAAACTTTATCCTTTAATCCTTACGTCCTTTAATATGACCTTTAATTCTTACGGTCTAAGTAACGCGCATATATAGCCCCAGCAATCCTAGTCCACTTTTTGGAGGACATCAGAAAGCTTATGCTCCAAAAATATACGAAAGCAAAAGACACATGAAAAAAAAAACATACTCGGCGAGTTTTACTGACATCCTTTTTGCAGCACAGCTCTTCAAAACACAAGTAAAATGCTAAAACATATATATATATATATACATATATATATATATATATATATANATATATATATATATATATATATATATATATAT